GATAGATAGATAGATAGATAGATAGATAGATAGATAGATAGATAGATAGATGGATGAGCTAACAACTAATCTGATCAGAAGCAATGTTAAAGTGAATTACTGCCATCTTAAAATAACTGTTTCTCCACTCAAGTTGTTCAGTGGTTATCTACAACAGGTAAGATTGGACTCCTGGCAGGGACCAATGCAGACATGTTCCTGTTTTTAGTTTTCTACATTCGCCTTAGCTGTTTTTTGTTACTTTTCTTTTTTTTTAGCCATCCTATTTGTAAAAAAAAAAAATAAAAAAAATCTGTATGACTTTTTATAACTGTTTATTGTTGTAGCTGTTGTCCATTGTTTTCATCATTCTTTTTGAAATCCGGTCTCTCTTGTAAATGAGTCCTCGAGGCTCAATGGGATTTACCTGTCTAAATAAAGGTTGAATGAAAAAATATTGTGATGGATAGATGGAATCCAGTCTTTTTTGTCTCAAAATGTAAAAATATCAATAAATAATAACAATAATCAGATGTTTTTAGTTTTACAGTTCCACACCTACTGTCCAGAAAAGCCCCCTCTAACAAACTTAAAGTGGCCCATGGGCCACCAGTTGATAATGACAATTGTAACAAGTTTTGCAGCTCTAGACACGTTTAATTTAATGAACGAAAGGGCAGAAATGGCTCTTTTGATCGTAACGGTTGCAGACCCCTGTTCTATGATTCAGAGCTGTGGTGTGCAAACTAATTCATGAATATTTATTAGACTAAAGGGACTTATGAATGTTGGAAATTGCCCCCTCTGTAATATATATTTTGTTGAAGGGTATTCATTTTATTCCTTCTCTTTTTATTGTCTGCTTACATTAAAGATGGACAATCATGTTTGTGTCCATGTGTTTGTTTAGGCTGTTAGTAAAAAGCTCACAAAATGTGGAATGAATTTTAATTTAAGTTCATAAATGACAGATTGTCCCCCGTCGCAGAATGAAAAAGGGGAATTGGAAATATCCTCCATCCATCAGTGTTGTGAGCTAAATAATTTGTAAAGTAAGTGATGTAGCAACTTCCATTTTGGTGTGTAGTTACATTTTGGCAAAAGAAAAGATCCTTTCTAAAACTGGGTTGCCACGTCAAAATCCAAGATGACCACCACCATACATGTAAACTGACCACCCCGATCATTTGAGGAAACTATGCTTTCTAGTTTTTATATTGCTTAAACGTATAGTTTCCTCAAACGACTGGGGTGGTCAAAGATTAATCTATGATGGCCTTGGCCACCATTGGCCACCCCCTGGCTCCACCATTGTGCCTGGTGGTGGATAAAATTGCTTCCTCTACTCGCCAGGATCCATCAATGTGCACCGCCTGGGACAAGCAAAAAATAAAAATGTACCTCTCTTTTATCACAGTGTAACTCCTCCCCACTTGAATACTTTGCACCAAAACCATTAAGGTTTACTTACATTCACTGTTCAATTCCAGTAAAGAAAAACACTCATGTCAAAAACTAAACATTCACTATTCAAATCCCTCAACAATGAGGAACACTGGCGTACCGCTTGTTTTTTTTGCCCATTATCAAAATATCTCACCAAGTGTTGGATTTTAATGAAACTTAGGATTAAATCACTGCATGTTCATCTACGACTCATTGACTTTCAAAGGTAACCCAGTTCAAGATGGCCACCACAGCCAACACAGAAATGGCTATAACTCTAAGTTGAGCAGTTGAGCTAAAAAAAATAGGTATCATAGTAGCTGAGCATCATCCTCAACACAAACGTTGAGCACTACAGGGTGTTTATCACTCCATTCGAAGCCCAGAAGTCGGCTCGTGCACATGAGGTTGTGAGACGTTTATTTTCACACACATGTTGCAGAGCTCCTGGGAAGCCCCTCCCACTGCAGTACTCGTCACGCCATGCTTTTCGACAGACGGACTCTTCCGTGCACAATGTCTGTGCAAGCTCCATCCAGGAGCTTTTGGCTATTTGACAATCTTTATACATCTGTCTGGAAGAGTCTGTCTGGAAGAGTCTGTCTGGAAGAGTCTGT